AACTTTTAATTTTAGAGTAATAAATTCTGCCGTTTAGAAAAAAATAAATAAATAAATAAATAAAAACGGATTCTCAGAATCTATTTCTCTTTGAAACACGGATTCCGAGAATCCGCTGTTTTATTTTTTTACACAACATTTTTTTTTGTCCACCTCTTTTTTTAAATAAAAATGATTCTAATAAAAATACTAGTAATAATAATATTATTTTCACATAGTTCTATCGTTTTGGTTTTTTTTTCTTTTATTTGAAAAATAATACTGACATTGAACTGAAATACCCGGTATTTCTTAAAAGTAAAAACTGATAATCGAACAGAAATATAAAATTTCAAGCTGAAAATTTTAACGTGTCTTTATGGTGCAGTCCCACAATTGTTAATGTGCAATTTGTCCAACGCTAATGTGCAGTCCTATTGCAATCATTGTTAATAATTCGTATCAAACCAAACTACTATCGAATTAAAATAACATATGTTTTAAATATCGTATTGTAACGGCCGGCATTACCGGCAGTACCGGATACTGGTGGTCCGACTGGTACAGTTACATCCTAAATACCGTTTTGGCCAAAATACCAGTTTCGTACGGGAAAATACCAGTTTTACCGGCAAATACCGACCAAAATACTGAGTTACGCCATTGTTTTTTTTAAATATTATTATTATATTTTTATTATTTGTTTATATAAATCGAAAGCTCTACACTTAATTTTAATATGTTTATATTGTTATTAGATGTTAATTAATTTTAGTATTAATTAAAGATAGTTTTGTACATTATCTATATATATATAATTGCTGACACATGTATTAAATAAAACCTATTTAATTATACCTACGTGGCATTCCCGCCAAAAACCGTTACTTCCCAAGTTTTTATTTTTTTTAATCATAAAATCAGATCAACATTGAATGTTGGCCAAACTAATAAGTGTAAATTAATTAGCCAAAATTCAGCCAATACTATAGTGTTGATTATGAAAAATCCCTTCAATTTTGTTATTTACTATTGACTACAATCCTCAAAACGTTACAATCTCATCTTAAAGATAATATATTTATTTTATATAAAAACATTTGTCAGACATAGAATGGTTGGTTTCAATGATATTTTGGTTTTAATATTGCTCAGTAAATTAACAAATAAGAGAAAAGATCAATAATTACAATTTGAAAACCACATTTACAAAATCAGGAATATCACAAATAACAATATTAAAATATTCCACCAGCATCAGGCAAGAATAGGAGAAAAATAAAAGTTTGATTCATTACTTTAGAAATGCAAATTCCTACATCATTCACATAGATAACGATGAAAAAAATAAACAAAATCTGTTGTTAATAAAAAATAATATAACTTACCAATTATGTAATAAATAATATGCATGAACAAAAATTCTATGGAACCATCAGATGATTTTTTTTATGGAAACAACCAACACTTAATGTGTTGACATCTGTCCAAATTGTATTTATTGGAGGACACGTGTCAATACACTAGATTGTAACAAAGATTTTAATAAGAAAAGATATAATCGAATATTTCCCAGTAAGCATAATATAATTATATTTTACACTAAATGATATATAATTACATAAACATATATAAAAAAATTGTAAAACTTTTTGTTCAAGTTATTAATTCTAAAATCATTACTATATTTTTTTCTGATTAAGAAATTATTTTTTTGATAAATTAAGTTGTTTTCATGTCATATTAAAATCTCTTAAAATTGCATAAGCAATTGTAATAATAATTCAACAAATTAATATGTCATGATCTCTCAAAATTACAAATATTACAGTATTTATTACATTATGCATTCAATATAGTGATTCATATACAATAAAATGATTACGTACTATTTATTTAACCAATGATGAAATTTTAAAACATAATATCATTATTTAACATATAATTTCAATATAATATGTTTATAATAGTTTAAAATGCAATATCCATTATTTATCTTATAATTTTAATATTATAGGCATATAAATAACTTATAATAGTTTATTTATTACTGTGCAAATGCACAGGTCGAATACTAGTTTATATTATAACTACAACAAAAAGGTTATATTGGGACACATTTGTTTGAGATGCTTTTCATTATGTATCCTAATATCTATTTTGGGACACTTATTAATTTGAGAGCAAAATAAAATATACAAATAAACATAAGATTGTCCGAAAAAAAAAAACGCGGGGTAAGCGGGAAAGCAAAAATAATTAGGCGCCTTAGAAAAGAAAAAGTGGGTTTTTGAGGAAGAGAAAGAGCCAAGACATAATTTCACCCAAACTTAACCCTAATTCTCAACCAAAAGTCTCTATCGTCTTAGAAATCTATCGCGGAGCCTTTCAAGCTCAAGCCGAAACCAATTGCTTGATTGCAAACAACCCAATTCTGGGTCGCGAAGGTCGAGAGGTCGGGCGTCGGTAAACTACAACTTCTGAATCCTGCGAGCAACCACCGGGCGACGGAGACGACCATTTTGACGGTGCTGGACACTTTCAAATATTGAACATTTTAGGTATGCTGGGCTTTCACTCTCAACTACGTTAATTCTGTGAAATACAAGATTAATCATGTGTTTAACTGGTCCTCTTATTCTCTGTTAGAATTTCAAGTGTGTAGCGGGGTTTTTCTCACGGAAACTTGTTGTCGGTGTTCAGGTAAAACTTTTCCCCATTTGTTGTTTGAAAATCGATTATCTTGTTTAGTTTCTGGATCAATTTTTGAAGATTTTAAATAGTTGATGCACTACTTTGTACAATACTCCAACAAATCTTACATCGGGCTGAGATTTGATTTCCGTAAGTCATACTTGATGATGTTGTTATTACTTTTCACTTCTCAGTCTATTGTATGTGTGATACCACCCATAGTAAGCATTTAGGGATTCGTCTCTGTAAAATCATGTTTATATACTTACATGCTA